ATGTAATAATCACACAGACATTCATTTATTATGTGTATGTGAACCTGCACATAAAACAATTCATGGAGCAAGTCAGACTGCAAGAAGAAACTGAAAGGCTGACGTCAGCCTTAATAACACAGAAATAACTGATCATTTAATTTTACCACAGCAAAAGAGACGAGGAAAAAAGGGGAAATAGAAACTGGATAAATAATGTGGTGATAAAATAAATACATTCAAAATTATTTTCTAATTAATTGAATAAATAAATAAGCTGTTATAAAATGTAAATGACGTGCAAATGAAAATATAGCCTTATAGTCTGTGAGTGAATCTGAAAGTTACTTCAGCGTAAACCTTTTTTCATTGGCAGAACCAGAAGTTACTCCTTATGTTTGAGACAAATGGACAAAGAGTCACAGCAGGTAACTCCCCTTTACCTGAGACACCATCAGATCCAGTCTGGGTGGAGTGGAGGAAAGGATCACTCTCAGAGTAGCTTCCACTGTTGCTCTGAGTCTGTTTCGGGCTTTGGTCTTGGTGGTGGCCACAATGGAAAATCCTGATTCACACTGATATGTAGTTGTGAATGGGAGAAGGAGTTTCACAGCTCTCGGTGCCAGACGGGTACTCCTTTGAGACAGCAATCCAGAAGGAGCCCAGATCCGGTTTGCCCCACTGCAACGTTAAAGTGCTGTCGGTGGAAACTTCCAGAAGCTGGGATTCCAGATGTGAGAGCAAAGCAACATCATTTTCAGTGGGATCAACAGAAAATGGGTCCAAAATCCACACGTGTGCTTCTCTGGGATCCTCAGGGAAATATTAATCGACAGAGTCACTGACCTTCACCTGAGGGGAGTTTTCCAAGATGTGAGACAAAAGTGGAAACATGTCCATCGTCTTCTCTTGGACCCTCTTAGTCCACAAAGCAAGTTTCCTCTTGAAAGCTTCAACTTTGTCTGCAATAAAAAGCATGTTGCTGTTCAGCTGGTTCAGCAGTGAAAAATGTCACAGAGGTAGGCACGCTCAGCGGTGGACTAATAATGTACAAGAGGAGATTTTTTTTCTCTGTAAGAAAAGACCTCATTCCTCAGTTCCAACAGAAGCTTGATGACCAGTCGTGTTCAATGTCACCTCACTGTGGCAGAGCAGATGGACGTGATCTGCTTCCATGTCCTCACAAAGCTCAGCAAAACAACTGGAGTTTACAGCATTATTTTTAATGAAGTTGATGGTTTTCACACATCCATCACATCGTGGAACTCTGGTAACATATTTTTTGCTGCAAGGCTTTCCTACTGGTGCACGATCGAGAATCTGCCTAATGACGCCGCACCATCACTGCACACCCCAACACAGTTCTACCAGCTGCCAACTGCTGTCCCAGTGATAACAAACAAAAACCAGCAGCAATGCACCATTTGTGACATCAGTGGACTTGTCTAGTTCCAAAGAGAAAAAAACGGACTACTTGTTATTCTTTCCAGAAGCTGATGCTGTATGTCTAAGGCCATGTCTGTGATACGGTGGCTCACGGTGTCGTTTGAAAGTGGGGTGGTCAGTAGCTTCTTCGGAGCAGCCTCTCCGATCATCTCACAGCACATATCTACAGAAATGCCTAAACATGGCCATGATCCCATGGTTAAGAATCACTGTCTTATAGGGTTTAAATAACTCCAAATGTTGGTTGCTTGGATCCACTTGTGAAAGATTTTCCAGTCATCTGATGCGCAGAGAAGGCAGATAAAACGTGAGACCCAAGACCCAATGTAAGCTATAGCACAGTGACCAAAGAGTCATTTACTGATTAATTATGTTAGTGGTTTGACCTCTGGCTAGTCCGGTCTGCATGCCAAAGTGTCCTCGTGCAGGTCAGTGAACCCCAAGCTGCTCCAGAGTGCGTGTGAATGTTACATAAATGGACTGATTCTTATCAGTACTCAAGTCCGCAAAGCGCTCTATACAACATGCCACATTCACCCAATCACACCCATTCACACAAGCACTTCCTCTGTACTTAGTGCTTTCTAACTGCATTCACACACATTCACACTGCGATGGATGCACCGGAGAGCAACTCGGGGTTAGTATCTTGCCCAAGGATACTTGAAATGCAGACTGGAGGAGCCAGGGATCGACACCAAGCTTCCGATCAGTAGGTAACCTGCTCTACAAGGGCGTAGATTGTCATGGACGGAAGGGACGTGTCCCCACCAGTAATTTGATCTCTTCGAGTAAAGAAAAACAAACCCGATAGAAAGAAAAACGATGTGTCAGCGTCTCATTCACCCAGCGGAGCAGAAAGAGTTAAATTACCTCTACTGGAGTCCTACGTCATGTGACAAATATGGCCAATGTGATTGGCTGAGCCTTTCAGGGAGCTCTGTTTAGTTTCAGCAGCGGCAAACCTGCGCTGCCAGGAGGAGAGGAGGAGAGGAGGACGGCAGCAAAGAGGAAGAAGCTGGGTATAAGAAAGTGTTTTTCAAAGAAACCTGTCAGTCACTTAAAGCCAAGTTCACTCATAAAATGCGTCACAATAACGTTACAGGCTGTGCTAGGCTTTGGCCCACATCAGTCTGAATCTGTAACCATGAATAACGTGTTTTGGAAACTACCTGCACAGCAGGCGGCACTGTTAGTTCTCTCAGTCTCAGAGCAGCGTTTCTCATTTTGATTGAAGCTGTCAGAGAAAATTGCAGCCTCGAGCAGCCCGGATATTAGTTTACAGAGGCTGTTAGAATTATATGTCTAACATTAAATGTTGGTGACACAATAATGTCATCCTAATGGCACTGACGTATTCATAGGGTTCATTTTTGAGACAAAATATCACGAGGTCGTCATGATTTTCCACCTTGTAGTGCAGTTTGCACAGTTTTAAAATGCACTCAGCCTACAAACATTACTGATGAGTCAAGATCTGCACAAAGTGACAGAAACACTGAAGCAGCTCCACATTTTATTCTTATTGTCATGTTTGTCCTGTTTGTCAGGTGACAGAAGAACCAACACAAAGCTCAGAGAGTGATGGTGACACAAGGTCACAGGTGAAACTGGATGATGACCTGGTGGTTTGTGACTGTATTTGAAGCACATGTATGACTGCATGTATGTGGAGTGTCTCACTGTTATTGATCAGGTGACAGAGGCAGCTCTGCCATGTTGTAGCTCAGAGGTGAAGAGGCGAGCTCACAGGTGACTGATGATTAACTATTATTTATTATCATGACAGTTGTTAGGCTGCTGATGTAAATTGATTCATTAGTGTATGTTTGTCAATCTGAATTGACATGTCTCACTTTTTATATGGCACGAATCCATGTGTTACTTTATCAGGTGGCAATATGTCCTAGTGCAGTCAGAGGGGAGGAGCCAGGGCCAAAGGTGAGGCACATCAAGCACAGAATAATAATTTTCATCTGAGGATAAAATGCAGGTACTGAGGCTGAAAGAAGCTTCAGTACTCTCAGAAGACTAAAAACATGGCTAAGGTCAACAATGACTCGAATGAGATTAAACAATGCTGCTGTGTGTCCACCAGGAGAGGCTGGACAGTATAGATGTAAAACCAATATGCCAGCAGTTTATCTCAGTGAGAGGAGCAGGCCTGTGTTTGGCTGCTTCACATAGTGGACATTGAGTTGTTGTGTGGGGCATGTAGTCCATGTCTGTTGCTGTAACAGTAGTTCATGTTTAGAATAAAAGATCGCAGCTCACTGAGTTAATCGGGGCAATAGTGCCTCAAATGTTGCGTCATTTTGCTGAGAGATCTTTTACTTTGTGGTCATCTTAGATGAGTAGTTTTATGGACGAAAACCAGCAGGTCACTGAGTGTTCCCTTAGTGCTGATGTATAACAGATGTTGATGTACTATAACTGAAGTAATGACCCTGAAAAGGATAAGCGGAAGCGAATGGATGGGATGGATGACTGAAGTAAACTAAAACCTGAAATACTCAGTCATTTGTTTAATAGTAATTTAACATTATATAATTCACATATAAAACAATGAATTGTAATTTTAAATGGTTTAAAAGCACGTAGAATAGCATATGTAGGCAAGTATATTTCTCCTTTTTTGTTAATCAAGAAGGAAAAACAAAAAAACAAAAACAGGGCAGGGTTCGCTGGTTGAATCATCCGTCCCCACCAATGCCCAAACCAAATCTACGCCCTTGCTGCTCTACCTCCTGAGCTACACCTCACATAGAAAGCGTCAGGCTTGGAAAATCCTGCTTGTATGTTTGCGTGTGAAGGAGACATGTTGTATAAAGTAAGAGCTCAGGCAGAGTAGAAAAGCGCTTTGTAAAAACCAGTCTATTAATCTAACAGAGACACACCCTACAACAACTCCAAACGCACGCAAAGTGGCGACAACTCCCACAGGAAGACAACGCTGTCTTTTGTGTAGCTGGTTTTAAGAAGTTTTCCATTGTTTCTTTTATATTATATTAATTTACTGTTTAGGGGAAAAAAAGGATCGTGTTTTGGCTCCGATTGAGATCGACCTGTTATAGCTGCAAGAGCGAGTTATGCATTTTATTCTGAAATTTTTAACCGGAAGTAAAAGTCATTTTTCTTGCGTTACCTTGAAAATAAAGTGGAGGCTGGTTGAAAGCGCCTCTTAAGTCATGTAAATTTTTTTACAACATGACTCTGTTTACGTGGGGCAGCTAGGAGTCTAAATATCCACGCGAGACTCCTTGGAGATCGGGCTGTTGGTTTGGCGACACGCTGCGGATGATACATTTCTGCTAGCCTAAAGCTGCTATAGTTAGCTAGCTACTACTCGCCAGGTTTGACTTTCTTGTGCTTTCCAAGCTGATAGCGCAGTGAGTGATGTGGAAAGTAACGTTTCAAGCGTTCGGTGTTTTGCTGTTGGCGTGGTTGTTGGGAAACTTTGTTCTGGGCTGGTTTCAGCAAAACACCAAACCCCAAACGCAGCACAGCGAGCAGCATCCGAGCAGAACCTCGGAGAGCCAGGACCAGAGCTGCTTCTGTCACGTAAGTAGCCCCAAACACGGAGCTTTTGTCACCGGAAACATACAGTTTGTTTTTTAATAACATAGTTTGTTGTTCTTCATGAAGCTTGTAATCTGCGAAAGTCATACTACAGTTTTGTTTTTAGGAGCTTCCGGCACTTTCTGCTGTCATTTTATTTTGACGTCACTGTGTACGTGAGATGCTAGTTAGCGACTGTCCATGAGTCCACAAATTGTTTTATTTTCCGCCATTTTGATAAATAAATAGATATAGTTACAGTTGACCGACTAAATTGGTATTTAAACCGAAATCTATTCTTGTTTGTACTGAACAGTGAGTTAAGTCCTTAAAGTAGACTAATGAGCAGAGTTGAGAGCGCTCCTCTTCTTCCTCTCCTCGGACCCAGCAGCGAGTTCAACCAGCCGAAGTTCTTGCGAGTTGAGCGAAAAGCGTGGTGTGATCTGATTGGCTGTGTCAGAGCTCCCGCTTTACAGCCTCCTCACGGACATTGTAGTTTTTTGCGTAGAAGTTGCCAAGTGTCCCTAGCGACCTATAACATGTAGATGACTACAAACAGGGAGGCTCCGTCAGAGGGGCGGCGTTTGTTTTGACAGCGGCTTGTTTGTAGGCGGGGCTTCTGGCGGGCATGGAAGTGCGGGTCTGTGATGACAGCACAGACATACAGCTGCTGCCGTGACATTTGGACAGTTACGTGAGGGGGAAGTTTTAATTTGAAGGAAGTTGAGACACAGAAAGCTGAAGGCGAACAACAGGATGCTGAGAAAAATGGTTCTTTTCCTGGCGCTCAGTGGACTGCTGCACTCTGAGGTCTGCTGTGGTTTGGTGTTTGTCATTAGTTTTTTGTCACAGTAAGATTGTCTTTGTGTTTCTGTAGTATATATAAGTATATATAATACTAGTGTAAAGGGTTTACAAAGGTTTCTAAAATACCTGCACGTAGTTTAGGTGTACTGCTCTTTGCAGAGCTGAGCAGTTGCTGCCATATGTTTTGTACGGTCATATCTTTGATAGCTTGAAAAGGAAAAGCCTGTTGTGAAATATAAAGAATGTGAAAGTACTTTACAAGTTTTTACAACTACATACTTGTAAAGTACTTCTGTAGTTATTCGGTTTTGGTTCGAATAACTTTCTCTCTCGCTCTCGCTCTCTCTCCTCACACACACACACACAGACACACACAACACACACACACACACACACACACACACACACACAGCAACAAACACATACACACACACACAGACATTTATTTAAATGCAAAAAAGCCCCCAAACAATACAATGTACATCTTTACTCAGTATCGAGGAATCATTGCATTGGATATTTTGTTAATAACATTTTATTTATGTTTGTTTTCTCTTAATTTCCAGACTAAAGTATTAATGAAGCATTTGAGACTCTAATCATGAGCTAACTGAACCGAAAGAGTGTCCAGAGCTGTTCTCCTGCCAGTTAGAGCAGATGTTTGGTGAGGTTTGAGGCTCTACCTGCTGTGCACAGAGCTGAGCTACCTAACAAAACTAGCCAGAGCCATTTGACTGACTGTTTACCAAGCTTCTTAACATGTGAATGCTGGGTTGTGTAATTCTTCAGTTCAAACACATTTGTAGGTTTTAGTCAGCAGCTGACGGTTTATAGAGCAGACAATGGGCCGTCGGCTTGGTGGGTTCAGGTAACACAGTGTGATGGATGTATTATGTATGAACGTGCAGGTAGGTGGTGGTTTGTCCGATGGCGGAGCATCATCACCTGATCCTAATAGTTTTTCTTATTTTCTTAATGTCATTTCTATAACATGATTATAAATTTGTAACAGCAGCAAAATTACAATCCAGTCTTTATCAGAAATGTGAACCCTATCTGGGGGTGGGGGTTGTGTCAGGAACGGTATCCTAAATGTTTGCCAAAGCAAACGTGGCTCATTGATAAGAGGAGGCGAAGCCACAAAAAGACTTGACAGCAACTGTAATGTCTTCTAACAAGGCGCACTTTAGATTCTTACAGCGTTTTAATTTATTGTAAAGTTATAAAGAGAGCTGCCATCTATGGGTGTCCACAGAACAAGAAGCACAGTAGCAGGTGTAGTGTTCCTTTACATAAAACAACAGTTCATAAATTCATGCAAAAGCGTACAAAGCGCTGCATAAAACCCCCCACCAAGTAGGGAACAACTGTCTAAATGTCCAAAATAGGGATGTGAGACTGCATGCACCTGCTAATGCTGCATGTTGCTGTCTCTATGAAGTGAGTCTCTGGATCCATTTCAGCTGAACTTGTGTTTTAACTGTTTTGTTCTATCATGCTGTGGTTAAAAAAATCTTTCCAGGAATCTGTTCACCCAGACTAACTCGAGTCAGTCGGTCAGGAAGACCATTTCAGAACGGGATGATGGTTACTGCTCTTTAAAAACATGACCAGCTGACAGATGTAATAGTGGGCTGCTGTGTCTGTAACTGTGTTCAAACAGACACTTTGGAATAAAAGCTATACATCTGCTCCTCTCCTATGTGAGATCCCTCAGGGTAGGGCTGTTCGATATAACGATATATATCGGATGACGATATAAAAACGTCTATCGCTTCATTTTATGCTGTCGTTTGTTTCGTGGTGTCGCAAAATAAACTGTTTACGGCAATATTTTCTCATCATTTTGATGTCACTGTAGTGGCTATATTCATTTCTTCAAGTTCTCTCTTTCTCTTATATGTAATATAACCACACTACGGACGGACAAGCGCCTGTTTTTACTGTTGTCGTTAGCAACAACGACGGTAAAACCATGCGTGTCTGCTTGTTTATGTTTCCACATAAACCTTTCACAATAAAGCTCAAGATCCTGTTGAGACTTTTCAAAATAAACTGAATCACGTGAAAGAGCAGATTATTTACGGATGAGAAGTAAAAAAGAGCCGCCAGGTGCTAAAAAATAAACCTTAGACTCAAACGTTAGAACAGGCTTTTCCCCGCAGCACGCCGTGTAATAAATACTCACAAAGAAAACGAGCGGCCGTTACAACTTATGACTAAAAATGTATCGTTTCATGCATCGGTTAAAACACTCGACTCCAGCTACATGACGCGCAGCTGGAAACACTTCACACAAGTCGAGCTGCCCGAGATTCACAGAACTTACAGAAAATGTTACATGTTTGTGATTTATATCGTTATCACGATGATAGATGTCTTATATCGAGATATGAGGTCGTGGTCATATCGCACACCTACCTCAGGGCTCACTTCTGTTGTCACCCATCAAAGTAAGAGCTTCACGGCAGTAATTTTGTCTTTAGGTGTTACATCTCCCAGTGAAGGCGTAACTATTATCACTGACTTTTGAAGTGCTCTCAGGCTACGTCCACACTAAAACGTTTTGGCCTCCCGTCAACACTGAGACGCCGTTTTCCTCAAGGGAAAACGCAGCGTTTTGAAAACGCTCTCGAAAACGCACGCATTTCAAAAGGGAGCTGCCCCGTCGCAGTGTGGACACGCGAAAACACAGACTTTCTAAAACGATGACGCATTTTAGTCATGTGATGCAGTCACGTGACCAATTAAGCTAAGATAGCGGAGGGCGTTATACAGCAGTCGCCCTAAAAGATGAATATCCGTTTGTTCATGCTCCAGATAGCTTTCCTTCAAAGTCTTTAATTCTCACTCGCGTTTGCGCAGGACTGGAACGTCAGCGTTTTCATCCGTTTCAATGTGGACGCACACCTCTGTGAAAATGACTGAAAACACCAGTGTGGACGTGGAGCGTTTTCAAATCCAGCCGGGCTAGTGTGGACGTAGCCTCAATCTCATCCATGGGAAAACTGAGGCTGCCGAGTCTGGACTGATCGTAAGAGTTTGAACAAACGTCAGGGTGCAGACTTTGACTTGTACTGCGTGACGTCAGTCAGGTTTTAGTCCACGCTTCTGTCATGTGTTTCTAGCACACAGCTTCACTTAAAACATCTGAAATGACCCGGACATTATGATTATTTTTACTGTTTTAACATGAGTGGAAACACTGTGACACTGTTATTTAGAGATGAGGTGTCATTAGTAAACGAAGCGTCCTGCTTTGCTTCAGCTCACAGGCGTCCTGGATGACTGCTTCTGTGACGTCGAAAGCATCGACATTTTCAACAACTTGAAGATCTACCCTCGCATCAGGAAGCTGACAGAGAGAGACTACTTCAGATACTACAGGGTAAGAGCTGCGCCTTCGCTCCGGCTACAGTGGAAGCACAGTGTGGCTCAGTGCAGTAGTAAAAGTAGTATGTAAAAACAGATGGAAATCACATGGATCTCTTTTGCGTGTGTGCGCACATCTGTTGTCTTTTTGCAGGTCTTTGTGTTTACTGCCACATGTTGTCACAACATGATTTACCGTTAGACCTCAGTGGTCTGTGTCCTCCCACAGTAAGAGCACACCGTGAACTAGGGCTGAACGATTATGGAAAATAATCTAATTGCGATTTTTTTGCCCCAATATTGCGATTGCGATGCGATATGCGATTATTTTTTAAGGTCTTTGTCTTCTGTATTATTAAACAAAGACAAGCAATACATCATATAGTATGGCCAATACTATATTACATTAATTTTAAACTGTTCTTTCCTGGAAGACAGACCTCTGTTATGATGACATGAGGTGATGCATGAATTGATGACTGACATTTTTATTTAACTTCTTCAATCACAACAGTATATTTGAACATACACAATAGTTTATTTTTAGCTTACAAACATCTGAGCATAAAGTGCTGACAAGGAACCCTGGTGTAAACATTAAAATGAAAGTCAGTACAATGTGCAGATTGCAGAAATATACATAAAAAAAATCAGTGGCTTTACCACACTCAGTTTTTCGACATCTGTGAACTACTAGACAGTCATTCAATTAAAAAATAATATTAAATAAATAAAACTAATAAATAAAAAATACACACATCTTACTGATCTCTGCAGTCAGTAACATTACACATAAAGTGCAAACATAATAGCAATTGTATAAACACACACACAAACACGCCTTTAAAATTTAAAGGCGTGAAATTGGACGGTCTAGCCTTCTGACTAGTATGCGTCACCGCTGTCTCGGTGGAGTTTAATAAACTCGGCCGTCTGCTTCTTGCTATCTAAAATATAACCAGACACTGGTGTAAATTCTCGACTGTCTCATACTTCTGTTTAATCAGTTTTCTGTTTGACGTTTAGTCAGCTGTGTGAAAACCAAGGAGGAACCCACCCGGGGGATTAATAAAGTTTTATTTTATCTAATCTAATAACTTTAATCTCAGCCAAACCGATTTACTCACGAACAAACAAAACACTGAAAAAAGCCCAACAATAACATTTTTAGGTTGTCTAAGTGACTTATATATTACGTTTAACCCGAGCAGCGAAACTCCGCGGTGATCTGAAAATGATGTGCCGGGAGTTGTGCCGTTCTCGGCCGCATCAGTAACCCTCGAGCTCCCGGCTAGCTGTCGAGCTGGTGGGTAGCAGACGCCTCTGAAAACGTCGAAGCACTTTTGCAAATATGGGATATCTTGATAAACCGAGCAGATATTTGATGTTTACACAACTACTTTCTCGCCTGAAAATATGTTAAAAGTTTATTTTGTGACCCAGAAAGATTAGTATGAGTAATTTTAAAACTTAGTAGCGGCCGCCATTGCTGGAAACTGGAGTTTGGCTGGGCCGCGCTATGAATTCTGGGATATGGTAGTAATTTGGACAGCCTTCGGCGCGTCGCTGTGACGTAATCGGTCTACAAATGCGGCCTCAGGAGGATGCAGCCCATGAATTTGGACATGTCCAGAGTATAATCGCAGCCTTTGCGGTTAGAAAATTGCACTTGATCATGTCGCGATATTATCGCAAATGCGATATATCGTTCAGCCCTACCGTGAACATGCAGACACTAAAGCCGGTGCACCTGAGCGTCACACCAAGGACGTTCTTGTTTTAAATACAAGACCCAGAGATGCTACACGACGAATCGGTCACGGCTTATTCACAGGCCAGAAAACAAGAATCAAACAATCCTAAAAACAACATATACATGAGCATTCCCAGGAATACATGAACACAATTCTAACAAAGCTTCTAAAGTTCGTTAGAATAACACTCAGTCCCACGATGCAACTGCTCCCACAACCCAGAACGAATCTTCTTTATTTTTCAAACCAGGGGAGTCATTTCCAGGCCGGTCCCAGGAGGACGAAGAGAAGCCTCCCATCTCAGTCTCGTCCCATCACAGCCCAACTTATGCTCCGCCCTTGAGCCGCACGCTCGCTGCCACAGCGTCTTCCCTCGTGGCATCGCCCTGCAAGCAGAGAAGCATCGTCTGGGAATCTGGCCTGGTTTATAGCCATGGCGATCCTCTCCCAACACGGCTGCACCCGGTGAACAGCAGTGGAGTCACTGCTCACAAACGCAGGTAGAGGTGCAGCTGTGCTACGCCCCTGACGAGAGGGCAGCACACTGTTGCCATCGTCTGGCTTCTGCGCGTTCCTTCCCTTCACATCAGGGCCTCCCTCAGTGCTCAGCCAGCTTCCTTTAAACAGGCCCTTTCACCAGCTGATAGGCCACGCCCACACCTCAGCAGGTGATCACTATCAGCCAACTTGTCCCAAGCCCAGCCAGTCCACAGTGGGTTAAAACAATGTAAAAACATCAGAATAGTTTCATGCAAATAAGAACTACACTCACAAATAAACACTAAAACCACTGATGAAAGACAAATATAAATTCCCACTGTGGGACAAACATGCTGTAAATGCTTTGGGACGTCCTTTCCCTCGGCTCCCGCCGTGCAGCTGTTGGATGACACGGTCCTAAACATCTGTGTAAATGATTCTCGCATAGAATCATGAAGCACTTTCTTTTCCTTTCTTCTTGTGTCTCTAGTTTGGGTGTTACAGAACAGGAAGTGATGTCTGAATCTTGTACCGGTGTCGTGTTACACTGTGGTTTGACAGTGCTGCCATAAAAAGTCGTGCAGTCTCCTGGAAAGAGCTACGCTTGATGAAGACGTTGCTGCACTTCTGTCTAGCTGTGTTTTTATTAGTACAACAGTCTGAACAGCACTGGTGTGAAGTCAGCAACCACGAGCAGGTAAATGCTGTCAGGCGCAGAGGGAGCGAGACAGCAGACTGATCTGCAGCTATGATCTATATCAGCTGCTCCAGTTCTGTGAGCTTGTAGATCATCTCGTTTTTAAGGAGACCAAAACGCTGCGCACCATCTCCCTCAGCTGCAGCTTGCAGCACAAACATGTTTCACTGAGATTTGAATTTGAATGCTAATCAACATGTTGTTTCTGGCAACACTAAACGGGATCGATCTGTGCTAATCACCGTATGTGACCTTTCAAACGGCTGACACATTCAAATCTTTTAATGCCATAGTGTTAAACATGTTTTCACAAATCGATTGTGTGCGTTTGGTGTAGGAGGTGGGGTGGAGGCTCAGGGGTCGCCTGTAGCACCGTCACACTGAGGTGCAGCGGCGCTTGAACAGGAGGCCGGCTGCTCTGTCGGTGTCTGAGCAGCACACACTGTGCTCATTCATTCACACTGCAGACCTGAGGCCACTTAGATGGATGTAGTGCGGGTGTCACTTCAGTGTGACTTGTACACAGACCAGAGTGTACGTGGAGAGAAGACGCACAGCAGACAAACACTTTCCTGTGTCTGTTTCAGTTCAGCTTCCAGCTACCTCTGCCCTGCTGCCAGTCACACGCGTTGTCTCCCACTGTCGCCGTTCCTCGCTGTCAGGACTGGGTCACCGCGTCACGCTGGCCCATCCGTCTCCCGATTAGGCGTCGCACCCTGACGAGAGGGCAGCGGGTCCCTCGTTTCACCTGGCTTCACACATTCCTCCTCATATCTGGGGCCGCTCAGCTAGTCTGCTTTTAAAAGGTCACAGCTGATAGGCCACTTCTGGACACACCCACACCTCAGCAGGTGATCCCTATCAGCTAATTTGTCCCATGTGCAGCCAGACCACGGTGGACTAAAACAGAGTCAAATAAAACCATGCAAATTCAGTTTTATTTCTACAGCGTCAAATCACAACAAGTCTCCTCAAGGCGCTTTGTGTCGTACAGCAGATACAGAGAAACACCCAACAATCACATGACCCCCCAAATAAAAACTACTCTCATGAATAAACACTAAAAATGAATAAAACCAATGTACCAGATAAACACAAGTCTCCACCGTGTGACACACACACACACACACACACACACACACACACACACACACACACACACACACACACAGTTGTGTTGTAACCAGTGCTCTGATTGGTACGCTTCAGAAAGGCCAGTGAAAGTTTCAGGCTTGGGTCTGCAATGGTTTTAATATGTTCACGTTGTAAGCGAGCACGAAACACGGTGGGAGTGGCTGAGTATACCGTAACGCACACGCATCATAGTAAATATGTGTTCTTTGGATCATACGGTGTTTGTGTGAATGGCGGCGGGGCGAGCAGGATGCTTACAGGTGAAGCGAGCGTGTGTCCTACGTGCACGTCAGCAGCTGTCCACAGTCAGTGGGCACTGGCCTCCGTTTGCTTCCCCTGTGAAATCTCCACTCGCTGCACCACTTGGGCGTGTCTAAAAACACGATGTGAGCCACGCACAGCTGTGGAGCCGCCGCTTTCACACGCCACGCCCTCGTCCTTGATTTCTCTCGTCCACTGAAGCCTGATTGAGCCTACAGTGACAGGCAGCGAGCGTCTGTTTGTCCTTCACATGTGGACGAGCCACTGCTTGCTTCCTGCCTCTGTCATAATAACAGTAATAATAAATGAGCAGGTGCTGAGTGTCTGTGTCTGTGCTGCAGGTGAACCTGAAGCGACCGTGTCCTTTCTGGCCTGATGACGGACACTGCTCCATCAAAGACTGCCACGTGGAGCCCTGCCCCGAGGTCAGCCAGCCTTACTCCAACATGGTCTCTTTTTACTGCCTGTCAGTCACACGTCGGCTCGTTGAGGACGGAGACGACCGCCTCCTAACTAGCTGTCACATACTGCCTTAAATGTATTTTCTCAGGGGAAGCTGTGTGAACATTGTCACCTATCATTGTTTGATGGTCTGTGTTCCGTTTCACAGAGCAAGGTTCCTGTTGGCATCAAGTCTGGGAACTACAACAAGGTGAGACCAGCTGTTCCTGACTAAGCTGCACCACTTGGAGTTACCACGTACAGCTGTGGTCACCTGCTTGCCTGCACATGAGTGCTGTATATGTTTGGACTGTTGTTTTTCCAGGGTGCAGTTCCTGCAGCTCAGGACTTTAAAAGCCAAGACTAAGGTGGAGAAAGGTGCAGATATTTTGGGTTTTCTCTCACTCTGGCTCAGAGGTGTAGACCGGGCACTTCTGCTGGTCTGGTACTCCTGGCTGATATTTGACTGCGTCGGTTTCAGTGATTCACATGTTAAACAGCACATGTAACATGGGGGTGCTGGAGGACACGAGTGGGCTGACACACAGCACCTTCTTCCTGTATTGACTGTTGGTGCTCCCTCCCAGACACCTCTGACCAATGAGTGGACTGAAGAAGAGTGTCAGTGGGTAGTGAGTGTGTAGCAGTGTTTGTCATCATTGTGTGTGCAGTTATGATTGAAGCTTTGTGGTGTTTCCTGAACGTTTGTGCTGTGCACCACCGAATGTCAGTCATGTGTGAATCAGTCCTGCTTCAGGTCTCTGGGTGTAACTGCGCTCGTGCACTAGTGCACTGCAGCAGTGAAATGTCAGGAGTTTGTTTCACTGCTTGACATATTAACACAATTTCTACCAACGTTGTTAATTTAGCCGAGGTACTCGCTGCCGCTCGGGTCAAAACCAAACCCAAAAAGTGAGTCGTGGTCATGAAAGACGAGCAGCTGATCTTCAGCCTGAGCTGACAGTCACAGCAGTGAGGGGAAGTCAGGTTCTCCACAGGGACCTGTGGGATCGTGCCAGGAAATCAGACTAAGTGAAAGCACTGCTGGAGCATTCTTAGATCCAAAGGCTAAACACCTTCTGATGTCATCATCATTATTGTTGTGCTGTACGAGGCACTTTTGTGCGTTTTGTGTAAACACTGTCAGGTATGGAAGTATTGATACATCTGATCTGTGTGATTTGCACGCAGGTTTGTGGGTGAGCCTCGTTCCCCTTCCCTCTGCAGTGTTGTGTGTGTTTGTGCTAACCAAATAAGGACTGCTTACCTGATCAGTGGTTATGACACTTTGCATATTAATGATCATAACCTGCCCTCCCAGCCCGTTGTTCACTCAGTGGGCTGGTGTCAGAACCGTGGGAACATGTGGCTGAGTTGTTACAGTGAATCCACGTTAGGTGGACATGTCAGCGCTGCACTGTTGTGCACGCGCTCTGAGATCAGACAGCAGACACTTGCTGTGACGGCGGCCTCGTAGCTGCTGTGTCTCTTACTTTAGAGGAAGTTTCAGAGCTGCTGCATTTGTTTCAGCACTTTCTGGACTGACTGCACACACAGCCACTCTTCTTATCTCCTCTGATAGCTTCTACGTGGAGACGCTGAGAGCAGAGTGTTTGTTGCTCTTGGCCAACAGCCTGGTGTTTGCCTTGAAATGACCCAGAAGTGTTTGCACATCTGCTCTGGTCTCGGTCAGGGGCAGATGTTTCCCGACCATCAGCTGGGAGACGCAGCCAGACTTAAAGCGAGCCTTTCTCAGAGTGGCAGTGAGAAGTACTGGAGGTGCTTTGGCAGTCAGGGAGAGGTCACAGTGAAATCAAAGGATTTGAATATGATAGAAATATTAAAAACTCCTCTAAATGTAACTGGGACGCAGAGGCTGCTGTTTCAGGCACAAACCGGTTTGACTGCTTTTGCTTGGGTACTACTGAATGTGTCCTTTTAAAACATGGCACCGAGATTGGACGAATCACATGTTTGTGCTTCTTTGTTTCAGTTCCTGAAATATTTCACTTTGACTGAGCCAAATAATCTCATTTAGAAGATTTCAGTTTGCAGCTGTGTTTATGGAACACTCGCTGCTCCTCTGATTCTTCATGTGAGTCAATGGTTGGACCTGGGGGTGGAGCTGGAACTGGGGGAGGAGCTAGCGCTGGGGCTAGAACTGGGGGAGGAGCTGGGGGTGGGGGTTGTAAAAGTGTCTGTGCAGCAGATATTTCCTTACTCTTCGTCTTGATGTTCACTCAGAAACAAGAAGTATTAGTTTTTTCTTCCGTTGTTAAATCAAAGCACAGATTTATAAGAATCATGTATTGGGCTCACTTTTCATGAGCGAGCGTTGTATTATCAGGTCACACTGGGCTGTGCTTACCTGGCAGGAGCAGAAGGTGGAGCAGGATTTAACCTCTGAGTTATGTTTGTGTCTTTGTGAGACGGTTGAGTAGGGCTGGGCGATATATCAAAAATTTATCGTTACCGAAATTTATGACTCTCATCGACGTCATTTTGCCCATGTCGGTAAATTCGGTATTTAAAATAAAAAAAGAAAAGGCATGTGCAGGTTGGCGATGTTCATGTCCCTTTAAGACGCTGTGCTACGTTACAGACTTGACGGGGTGGAGTCACATGACTCTACTACCTGTTAAGCTGGGCAGACACTGGGCGATTTTTTCAGTCGCGTTATTCAGCTCCTGCTCAAACTGCACGATTGACTCGCAGGGGTTAGAAGTTCATAGGTCACGATGCAGGTCTCACACTATACGGCCCGATGCTCTGATGCGACCTGAGTCACACTGTGCGTCCATAACATGAAGGTTATAACAGAAAATCTGTCGCTCTCTCTGTCTCTCACTCACACAGACACACCACCACCATCAACTTTGCTAAATTGCTAATGAAAAACATGATCAGGCAGCTGTGATTGAGCAGCGATGTAGATCCAACTATTCACGGTTGTTGTGGTCGTGATGATTTTGTGAGGCCACATCGAAAAGGCTCGGATGAGCT